TGAAGTTCCTAAACAGATTATATATTTACCTCTAACTGTCAGAGTTATTGATCATTTACAGCTACGACTAATAGACCAAGACGGTAATTTAATAACCTTTCGTGAAGAAGTAATCACGATTCGTTTACATATAAAGAGAGTATAATGGGAATAGTTTATAATGCTAAAGTAGGGAGTGGCTATATAACAATACCGTTATGCGCTCAAAAAGTCAGTTATCTACGGATAGTCAGAGGTCTAACACGTCGAAACATTCAGTTCCTGAAAAGTCTCGGACTGAAGATTGTTCGAGACGTCGCAACAAAAAGAAGAAAAAGAAACGTCAACAGTTTAAAAAATTAACGTGTATATTTGTATGCTGTTGTTATTTCAAAGATGGAAGAAATATTTAGTGTGCAAGCACCTATCATCTTTGATGAATCTATATCTCATTATGAATTTCATGCACATGAACCTTACAACTCACAAACATTTAACAATAGCGATGAAATTCGTATATTAATACATCAAGATTTATGTCTCTTACCATCGAAAAGTTCTCTACACATTGTAGGAAAAATAAGAAGACGTAGTGGTAATGCTGTTACTGGGACAAAGGTCGTAAATAATGCTATATGCCATCTATTCGAAGATATCCGCTATGAAATTAATGCCATTGAGATAGACAGATGTAAAAATGTTGGTTTGACGAGTACTATGAAAGGTTTGATTTCATTGAATCAAAATCAAAGTGCATTCCTCGAAAATGCCGGATGGCTTGATATTGAAGAAACTAAGACAATAATTGACAACAATGGTTACTTTCATGTATCGATACCACTTTCCATGATTTTAGAATTCGCTGAAGACTATCACAAAATTGTTGTGAATGTAAAGCATGAACTTATTCTTACCCGATCAAGAGATAATTTAAACGCAGTCATACAAAACTTGGTGAGAATTGATGAAGCAGTATAATCCTTTTAAAATACAACTCATACGAATCGAATGGTTGATGCCTTATGTAATTACGTCAGATAAGTGTAAAATACAGTTATTCAATTTCATTCAAAAAGATATTCCTATTTCTATGAGTTTTCGATCGTGGGAACTTTATGAGTATCCAGCATTACCACAAACGTCAAAAAATCTTTGGACAGTAAAAACATCCAATCAATTAGAAAAACCAAGATATATTATATTAGGTTTTCAAACAAAACGCAAGTCTGATCAAACTAAAAATCCCAGCAGATTTGATCATTACAGGGTAACCAATGTTAAACTTTTTCTCAATTCTCAGCAATATCCGTATGGAAATTTAAATCTTGATATAAGTAATAATCAATATTCTATGTTATATGACATGTATGCTAATTTTAAGTGAACTATTACAACAGAGACTGTATGTACAATCCACTTTTGAATAGAAAACAATTTATTACGCATGCACCTCTAATAGTAATAGATTGTTCTAAGCAAAATGAATCATTGAAACAAGCTGCTGTAGATGTATGTCTAGAGTTTGAAACAAAAAATGATATACCAGCGGAAACAGCTGCATATTGTTTAATTTTACACGATCGTATAGTTAAGTATAATACAATAAGTGGTAACAAAACTTGTATAAGTATTATAATATAATAAACATGTATACATTTTTATCAAATAAATGTGTTTTAAAAAGTTTAAACGTGTTCAATATTTTTAATAATAATAAACCTTATCCCCAACCTCATTCCATGAGATATACCGACTGGGCGCGTCATGCCTGTACGCCACCGTTGATAATACGAGGTGTGTTCAAAAAGTAAGGTAACTTTGTATGTTTAAGAAAAAATATTTGTTTATTTATCAATATTTATGTTGTCCCCTTCAAAGTAATCCCCCTCAGATACAATACACTTATACCAACGGTTTTTCCAATCCTCAAAGCACTTCTCATAAGCACTTTTCGGTATAGCCTTGAGCTTTTCCAGCGATGCAGTCTTTATCTCTTTAATCGTTGCAAATCTTCGTCCTTTCATAGGTCTCTTTAGTTTTGGGAACAAGAAAAAGTCACATGGGGCCAAATCCGGTGAATATGGTGGCTGAGGCATGATTGTGGTGTTGTTTTTGGCCAAAAAATCTCTCACAAGCAAAGATGAGTGAGCAGGGGCATTATCGTGATGCAAAAGCCATGAAATGTTTTTCCACAATTCTGGGCGTTTTCTTCGTATTGCTTCTCGAAAACGGCGCATAACTTCAAGATAATACTGTTTATTGACCGTACGTCCATATGGTAAGAACTCCTGATGCACCACGCCATGGTAATCGAAGAAAACTGTGAGCAAAACTTTGACATTTGATCGAACTTGGCGTGCTTTTTTCGATCTTGGATCATCTGGGCTCTTCCATTGGGACGATTGGACTTTGGTTTCGATATCATAACCATATACCCATGATTCGTCACCAGTTATGACCCTTTTGAGTAAATCTGGGTCGTCGTTGACGTCATTCAACAGTTCTTGAGCGATGCTCATGCGACGGTTCTTTTGGTCAAAATTTAGCAATTTCGGAACAAACTTCGCTGACACACGTCTCATGCCCAAAACGTTAGAAAAAATTTCATAGCACGAGCCAAGCGATATACCAACATCCTCAGCAATTTCTCTGATAGTGATTCGACGATTTTCCAGAACAATTTTCTTCACTGCTTGAACGTTTTCATCAGTTGTTGACGTGCTTGGGCGTCCAGAGCGAGGCTCGTCATTGGCATCTTCCCGGCCATCTTGTAAACATTTTTTTTACTCAGAACAGTGTCACCGTATGCCACCGTCAACATTTTTAAGTGTTTCGGAGCACTTTATTTTATTTTTTACACAAAATTTAATGCAAATCCTTTGATCCATATTTTTCGATAGCAAGAAATCGCCGAGCACGCAAAACACTTATATCCTTTACGCCTCTCACAACCAAACAAAAAATGCTATACACTTGAAACTTGGTACAGATGTTCGGGAAGAGTGTACCAACATAACAAAACAAAAAAATCAAAAGTACGTTGCCCATGAAATTTGAAAAATCACCTTACTTTTTGAAAACACCTCGTATTCCCCCCTTAATCATATATCTCTTTTTCCATTAATCTGACACATCATCGATCGATCATCGGGAGGGGGCCATTGGGCAGGGGGCATGGGGCCTGCGGGGGGGGGCATCACCCACGTCGATAACTACCGACCGGCCGAGCATACACACACACATGCACATGCACATGCACGGTCGGCTACAATGCAAACCGCCGATACAAAATCGGCCGATAAAACATTTCAATGACCGGTAATGCATGATTAATCATGTTACCGACTGCTGGTAAGGAAGGAATGAATACTCACATGGTAAAAGTGGCTTAGAACCCTTATAGCCTATACTACTTATGTAGAATGCGTAGTTTTCAAGAGTTTAGCTACTCAAAAAAAATTCATTTATTTTCATAAAAATACTCATAGCCATAGTAGAAATTATAGCATGGAAAATTTTAGAGTATTATTTTTAAGAGAATTGATTCAATTTTCAATTGTAATAAGCTTTTTTAAAATCCGATATTCGGAACTAAAATAAGGATTGATTACGTGCGACTAAAAAAAATGAAATTTTGTCTTTCGTTTTTTATATCTGAAAATTTCACAACTTATTTCAATGCTTTTTCAATGAGTTTTTGAAATCCATTGAGTTCTTCAAGCTGCGACCATTTTTCGCCAAGATGCAAAACATTGAAAATCTTGTAATAATTAGTTTCAGTAGGCGAAAGCATTTGTAAGGTACGTCTACCTGATTGGTAATCTACCATTGATAGCTTTAGCAGATATCTACTCACCGTCTTACTCTTTGACATCATCCAAATCTGTTATAGCTACCATCATTAGATTACTGATTACGCTTTCCCACTACTCAAACCAATAAACCCAATTCAAGTCTACTCTCTCTGATGTTCTAGCTTATCTGACTAGCTCGAAAAAATCTATATTGAACCATATCATTTTCAGAGCAAGGGTCCGGCAAAACGTTTCCACCGGGGGCTCGTGGTGGCGTTTATGTACTCGTTTCCAGATGCGAAGAAATATTAGTTGTCCTAACCGTCTTCTGTTGAATTTGTTTGTCCCGCAGAACATTCCAATGAATAAGACTATGTTTGTCGCCATGCTCAGAGAGCTTATTTCTCAGCTTAAAATTGAACAAAATGCTCTATGTACCGTGTTGTCGAACGCAAGGGGCTATATTCTAACATATTCATAAGGATGAAGATACCTCACAGATGAGATCTTACAGCTACCGTATTCAGATCCACATGAGGTGATAAGATAGTACAATGTATAAATAACTGAGTATACATCATCAGAGTTAACAATGTGAAGAAGATGGTCTCAACGGATGATCCCAAATAAGGCTACCTCAAACACCTAGTCAACGATGAGTTTATTAAGCCAACATTTAGTACCTCCGCGTCTACGTCTTCATCCGTCTGTTAGCCAAGTAATAACCCAAGAAATATGCTTACCCAGTAGTTGATGACATTGAAAGCCACAATGTATGCAACAATGCTGCCGAACATTCTACAAAAGAATAAATCACTCCTTTTATGTCCCATGAAGGTCTCGAAAATTGATTCGTGGGAATAGAGCCGTGCACTCAGCTTTTTTCTCTTTCATCGTTTAGTTCGCACGATATAACCAATGTAGCCGTGTGCCTTGACTATACTGCCCGTTTGTTATTACGATATTTGATAACATATTTTATTTATTTTTTAATAGGCTACGTATCTTCATTACTATTGTCCCATCCTAAGCTCTTTAAAAAGTTGCTAAGTCTAGTCTCGTACTAGTTTTCATCATTTTCAAAAGATCTGTCAGGTAGAAAATAGAATTTTATAAATAAGATATTTGATATTTTCTAATATCACACTCAGTGATAATTAGGCCAAATTTCATACTTTTATGAGGACCTTTGTGACCGAAAATAATAATTTGGAAATATTGTTATAGATTAACGAACAACGTCAAAATTGGAAAAGTTATTTTGATACTATCGTAGTTGATGCTAAGAAGCCACTTTTTTTTGGAGAAGGAACTATTCTTCGTCAAGTCGACACGGAAACGGGAGCATTAAAGTTAGGGAGTCATAAAGGCCCCTTACATATTGGTTAGTATATGTGTGTGTGTGTGTGTGTGTGTGTGTGTGTGTGTGTGTGTGTGTGTGTGTGTGTGTGTGAGTGTGTATGTTCAAAAAGAATTTTATTAATTTTACTAATTTTACTCTATATTTATTTAATTTATATTTTTTATTAGTCTAAATGAATAATCAATTTATCTGTTACATATTGACATTAAGTCAATGCAATTAGTATTATGATACCTTAACATAATATGCAGTAGGATACTTAAATTTGTATTATCTATTTGTATTTAGATTGTTTGAAAATCAGATAGATTTTGGTTTATTAATATTTTCATCAATTTATGTTTTCTAAATTCAGTAGTAATGACAGTTGTCCAGAAAAATTTTCTGATAAATTTATTTTTATGGTTTTACAGTCTCGTGTTATGGTTTTCATACAAAGTTTTAAATTCTTTCATTACTGATGGTATTTGTAGGTCATTCCGGATGATGTTGTTTGATACGAACCGCGTAACTCGTATAATACTTCGCAGGACTTTCGATTGAAAAAATTCCATGATTTTCGATATTCGAGTTTGAATAGGCATCCTATAATTTAATACCACGAGTTCAGATCAGTTTAATTATAATTTCGTGGAAAAGTATTTTATTTTACATGATGATTTTTGATTTTTTTCCTACGAGCCAGTACATTTTTCTCCATTTTAAATTTCAGTTACTTAACTTATCTGAATATATATTTATTTCATATGAACCGCTGGTCTAAGTTTATTTCTGAGTATTTCACGTGATTACTTTAGGATATGTGTTTTTGTATGAAATTTAATAAGTTGTTACGGAGAATCTCGGTTTACCGTTTTTCTCCGTTGGCTCTCCCTCGATCCGTTCGTTACGCTCAGGATGAGAGTGTATTTGTCCACACCTCCATGCCCATTTTTCTCTGTTTGAGGTGTGGCAGGCGAGTGGATTGGCGGAGCAAGGAGCGGCCGACGGAGCTGATCGAGCGATGAAAGAGATAGGGGCGCGGGAAATCGGTAGTTAAGTGTTGACTGGCCGATCGATCGCGCGTGTTTACCCCGGTTTTCTTTTTTTCTTCTTTTTAGTTTTTGCCTGATTTATTTCCGGTAGCGGTAGTGTCTCGCCGTCGTCGAGTGTTAATTTGTTTGGATGCGTACCCGGTGTGTGGACCCGGAGTGTTGTGAGTTCGTTTGATTGATGGCTGGGTCGCGCCCAACCAAACTCCGTCGCCCATTACTGGGGTGCACGAGTTTCATCACGGTGGCGTCTACACCGCCGGCGCGTGTGCGATCTGCGCATCTGCAGGAGACGGCAGCGGTACAAGCGGCAGGAGTGGTAGTGATAGCAAGCCATCATTGTCGGTATCCACAACGGCAAGTCACACCGCGCAGGCAAGTGCATCCAGCGTTGCCTCCGTCGACGTTAACGGTCAAGGTTGGTGCTGCGTGATTTTCTTTCTCTCTCTCTCTCTCTCTCTCTCTCGCATGCTTAGCGGCGCGCGAGGTGATATTGGCGTGGCCTGACATGGTTGTCGACACCCGTGTAGGACATGAGGTGCGCGATCGCGATCGCGGGTCAGTTGGATTGTCGAGCGTGATAATGCCGATAATCCAATGGACAGGATTATAACCGGATTTTACTGTTATTTCATAAAGTCTGCTAAAGTTTTATTTATTAAAGTCAGCTATTAAATGACTATTACTTCTAATTACGGGAACTCCCCTTTCATAAAAAATTCAAATTTTACCGCTATAAAATAGTCTGACTCATCCTCGACGTAACACGCCCGCCCCTGAAGACTAGCGACGCAGGGCGCTCACAACTTGCGAGCGCCCTGCGTCTATTTGAAATTTCGTACGTCAAAACATTATACTTATACTTATAACTTGCACATAACGAAGTTACAATAAACACTACGTACTAAACACAAAGTAATTTTACACATATATATGTTTGAAAGAGAAACACTTCGAAGCACTACTTAACATAAAGTCTCTAATTTTCAAAAGGCAAGAAACCACCACTTCACACTACATTTAATTTTCTTAAAAATATTTCTTCTCGTATGGTGCCAGGTTTACATATATGGTAGTTTTTTCCAGGTTGAAGGGCATTCTGATGAGCAGTTGACCAGCACTCCTAACAGATGAGGAAAATATTTTTTGGTCTGTGACTTAAGTGTTTTAAAATGCACAGCTTACAAAAACGCCACACAGGTAGAGGCTGAGAGCATTGCACACAGTTACAAAAGGTTAATAGGTCCGCAAAACCTCTACCTCCATAAGGCAAATACACAAATTCGGTATATGTTCTTCCGCGTTCTATCCTTTCTCCATGAAAATATGCTACTAGATAGTCTATCCATACTTGCATATCTTCTCTGGTACATTCATCAGGCGGTCGAGGAACATACTCTACATACTGTAACTGATCATTCTCATACCTTAACTGCCACCTTTTTATAATGATTCGAAGCTGCTCATTCGTTACATCTGGTCCGGATACTATCGGTAGGATTAGGTCGTATCCCGTCATACGAGCGCAATCCTCTGATGCCTTTTGGTAGTCCCCGCAGCTCTCATAACAAATCTGCTCTAAGGCCTGGGCTTGATTTGTAGGGTTACCCGCTGTGGATGATCGCTCCATTTTCACTGCTTCACTGTTTAACCTCAAGGGTGGTTGCAATCACGACGCTCTCAGGAAGCTCGATTATGGTCCGCTTAGCAAAAACATAGATTATACACATGGTGCACCATATGGCCACTTTGTGCAAAAATCTTTTTATCAAAGCGGCGGACAATAATTGTCTTCCTTAACAGAGAATGGAGACTTCTCAAACAAACAATTCGTTGTTTTGGGAGAGGATGTCGTAAATTTCTCTTTCCTGTACGGGCATATGCAAATGCAAATACTGAAGTACAAAATGCGTCACCGATTGCCCTCGACAAGCAACTAATGCTAGTCGACCTGAAGTGAATGCAATGTGTATTTGAACAAAGACTTGCAATCACAAGTGCAAATGTGTGTACCTTCGCGTGTGGGGCTGAAAACGCTGTCTCTGTAAAGAAACAGTAGGCAAAACACACAACGCTTGTCCCTATTTGAGCATCGAACTTCAGAATTAAACTCCGAAGTTCGATGATTTGAACGCGAATTAGAATACCCGATTTAGCCTAATGTCGGAGTTTGATTCGAATGCGTGGCATGACTGGCACGAATACTGAAAACTGCCTGGGGATTCGCCTTGTCGGCTAGGCGAGACCCCGCCCTGACCTAAAAGTCAAAAACATTAGATCGAAAGAGCAAACATCAGTATCAGCCAGTCATAAAAGCCATTCCTTAGAAAGCGAAGTCCGAAAATAGAACGAAAACCGGGAAACAACTCTTCGAATGACGGATACCCACCAGCGTGAGCGGGGATGATCGAAACGCAATGGGAAGACATGCCTCGGTACGTCGAAGCGATGGACCTGTGAGTCGTGGGAGCAATCCCTTAATACAGGTACGCAGGTTGGGATGTTTTCGAACGCGAGCCCAGGAGGGGAGGCTTAGCTGGTTGATCGTCTTAGGAATCTCCTCTGGCTATCCTAGCTGAGTCTCTCTTCTGACATCCCAACTTAGGTTGGGCTTTGCGGGGTATTGGTACCAGGTCAAGGAAATCTCGTAAGATTTGTATGCTGCGTGCTTCCGACGCGGTAGACGTTGGGGCAACTAGAGTCTCGTTGTCGCTCCCAAACCGAGGATCAAGCCTTTAGTTCCACTTTCCCTGAGCGTCGAAAAGATCGGTACTTCTCTCGAGGAGGTCGCCGCCTTAGATTAAAAAGGCTCCGACTCACTGTGTGCGTTAGGGATGTCGTAGCAAACTTTACTTCCGGATCTCCAGCGTTTAAAAGCGAAGGAGTGAAAGACAGTGGGCCTATTGGCGCCCAGAGAGAGAGAGAGGTGGTAATGTTTCATTACGCTATGCCACCCTCAAAACGGAAACGTGTGAACAACGCATACACTAACTGTTTAACCACAAGATGATTCCTCGTCGATATATTTCCGGTAAAACCACGTTGTCGTATGGTTCCGGACTGTTGAACAAATTAAAGGGATCACTTATCACTCCTTCTTCGGTGATCACAAATCCGTGATTTTCTCCATAAGCCTCTTCCAACTTTTGCAAGATCTTACTCACGAACATGTTATACTATCACTTATAGAGGCATAGACACAAAACTAGTTGACATGATGCTGTCTTACTGGCAATTAAGTCCCCTTTATTTTACTCTACCTTTCGAACCGGGAGCTAATAATCACTAATCACTATAAATAATAAATAAATAATAATAAATAATCACTAATCTAGCTATAAAACTGTATCGAGTATAAATTTAACCATGCAAAAAAGCATAATTACGGAAATAACGCCTGCGCTTACCGAACCAAATCTCATAAATCTTCCCCATAATTTCGACCATGTGGAGTCGGCTAATTTCTCTAGCGCTTTTTCATCGAGCATATGATAAAATGATAATTCTGCTAAGGGACGTCCGTTCAAAGATACACTTTTTGCTACTTTATTCAAAATCGCGGCTTGTTCATTTGGAAACATGATATAGCTTTTTAATTTTTCAATATCTGACAAACTATAAATTCCGCTGTTAGTTATGTCATTGAGTGCTAGATATTCCCATGTTTGCTTTATCTGAGGCTTTAAAACCTCTGGTCCGTCGCCAAAATAGGTCGGTCGTGGTAACATTCTAAACCATCCACTTCCCACCTTAAACATTACTGGTACTGTCTCATCACAGGCTGTTTCTGTACCGAAAAATTTCAATATGTGCGTGCGAGGTGTCATAAATATAGGTCTACCGTTGCGCTCTACAGGTAGTTCTAGATAGCACTCTGAAGAGTTTCTTGTCCGTACGTCTACTGGTAAGCACTTCATTATGTGAATGACCTCGCCTGCGAGTAGGCTAATAACACATCATAATATAACTTTTGTAAGCTTTTTCTTACGT